AACTCACCACATGTACCACATCACTGACATCACAGGCCTCCCGCAGATAGGTAGAATAATCCTGCTTCCTGCGTGCTCCCTTAATACCATCGATAGTCCGTTCAGGAAACAACCTCATAAGCTCAACCCACGAACTCCACGCTGGATAAGATCGGCTTCATGTCTAGCCAAAAGCCAAAGCTCCTCTTCACTCCACCGCTTTCTCGATCTCTCAACCTTAATCCTCTGGTTAAAAGACTCCGGATGAGACCTCTTCACATGAAGTCCAAGCCCAGTAACCGTACCAAACTCTCTCGGACACTCAGAACAAGACCTACGCTCCATAGTCAGTGTTGACAACAGCCCACCGCAACAGCCTAGCATATTCCGGACATTCATCAACCCCAGCAGGATGGGAAGCATCCCGTCCAAAATGCCAGTCCAAAGTCGGACACACCTCAGAGACATCAACAGCACACGCATTCCTCACATGACCTTCCTTACCACAGTGCCCACAAGCATTAGCAGCCAACTTACAAAGCCTCGATGTGTGTCCGTATCCTTGACAACGAAAGCATTTCACCACCGCAGAAAATTCGTCAAATTGGCAGGACAGCCACCCAATACACACAGCACCCTTCCTCATCAGTATCCTAAACACCTCGGGAGCAGCCTCAACCACCCAAGCCCTAGTCCGAAGCTCCGACCGCCCCATCTTGAAAAGAAGCCGAAAGGACAACACAAAATTCTCCTTAGTGTAGCCTAGCATAAGACGCACCGCATCCCTCACATCCTCCACCGAAGAAGTAGCAGGCACACCTCTAATGACCATCCTTGGTCGTCGCTTCTTCAGTTCAGTCGCCGTGAAACCCAATTCCTTCACCTTCTCCGACTCAGTGATCCTAGTGCAGTCCTCAGGCCTCGCCACATCAATCACCAGACCCTTATCATTCCTACGTCGAACCTTAATAACTTCCCAACCTTCTTCACGAGGATTAATTGCACCCACCAGACGTTCCTCAGCAGCCTGTGCACTTTCAATGCCTAAATTCGATACGGGATGAAGGACCACAGCGTTCCTCTTGGCCACCCCCTGACCAAGAAAACCAGTTACACCCCCGACTTTCCTCTTGACAACACCAGAATAGGATTCAGCCACAGCACCCTCACCAAGATCAACTTCCATCCCCTGACCACCTCCTGAGATGGACGCCGACTCAACCAGCCTATCCAACTTTCCCTCAGAGCGCAAATCCCTTTCAACCGACTCCTCATGTACCCTAGACAGACACTCATACACCCTATCCATATTAGCCTACCTCCCCCAGAATTTTACCACGCCCGACTCCTTGCTCCTCAATCCTTCCAATTTCCACCACCACAATTTTACCTATTTCTCTGGTAATCTTCGGCACCATTTCCGTCATACACCTGACGACTTCCTTCCTTTCATCTCCTCACCAGTCACCTCTCCCTCACCGACCTTTTTCTCAATCCTTTCTATTCCTCTGGCCAATCTGGAACTCCAATCTGTTACCTCGTTCCTCGACAGTCCTCGTCAGCACATCCATCTTATCCATAAAAATAGAATTCTCCTTCCTGAGCTCCTCAACTTCCCACTCAAAACCTATTCCTCTCTGGACCTTCCTTGTCTTAGCCGTCCTCACCAAGCCAACAGACTCCTTGACCACATCAACCATCCCCCCAGTTCTGATTAAAAACCACCTCGCTGCAGAAGAGCCACAGTTTTTCTTGTCAGAGACCCATTCCTTAATCTCCTCCTCTATCGCCTTAATCCTAGCCAACAAATCCAATGCCTCACCATCCTGTAAGTCCTCCAAAATGGAGGGAGAGAGGTGAGTCCACTTCCTACCACCTCCAGGGGTTCCCCATAATGCCTCACCACTACCAATCAGCTCCTCAGAGGCACCATGCCTAGGCATGGAACCATCACGACTGCCACCGCAGTCTCCATAAATACAATAGATAAAAGAGCACAACTTACGTATGTCCAAGTCCAGTAAAAGTAATCCCAAAACACCAGTCACTTCACTACTAAACACTCACAACTGAATAATCTGAAAGCGCGAGTCCATAAACAGCCAAGTCCAAAACCAGAAAGGGAGAACACCAAAGTCCAGCGAGCGAAGTCGATAGCCCGACGCACCAGCCAGAAAGCAAGTCCAATGAGAAAGTCCAAATCCAAGCCGAAGTCAATTACCGAAGCACAAGAAATCCACTATACAGGTTTAAAACACGGAGCGAGAAAACAAGATGTTCACTGTACGACCGCCCGAGAGCAACTTATACCTTAATTTTTTTATAAGGCATTTTAAAATATTTTGGGCGGTCGCCCAGGGTACTTCTTGTCCGTCAGCGGTGTCCTCACCATGGTCGTCCTCCGGGTTCCACTGGGGTCCTCGTAGAACGGCCGCTCCTCTCTTCAACACCGCCTCTTGGTCCAGTCGTGGGTCCATCTCCTCGCCGTGGTCAGTCTCCTCCGGGGGGCAGTTGGGGCAACTCACTGGCCGGCTCATGTCTGACAGGTAGCCCAAAGCGTCTGTCCCTGTCCATATGATCGCACGCGATAGCCAGCGAAGAGCGCAGGGCGATCAGCGACATGGTGAGGAGCACCCTCGGGAGGTTTGAAATCCCGGAATTGCCCCACGTGCCCCGATCACGATGCCTTTGGCCGTGAAATACGGCTTCTGGCACCGCTCCTGGAGCTCGGCGCGAAGCACCATGTACTTCTCGCCCTTTGCCTCCACCACACGGCTTAGCGCGTCGCCAGATTCATATGCCACTGCAAGATCTAGTACATGTACTTCATCTTGATTAGTGACGACTATGTCCGGTCGCAGCGTTTGTCCATCGTCGGTCCGTAAGGGGAGCTCGACGCTGTGTACCCGAAATTAAGAGTCATAGTTACTCCCGCCGTTTACCCGCGCTTTTTTGAATTTCTTCACGTTGACATTCAGAGCACTGGGCAGAAATCACATTGCGTCAACACCCTTTAGGGCCATCACAATGCTTTGTTTTAATTAGGCAGTCGGATTCCCCTGGTCCGTGCCAGTTCTGAGTTGATCGTTGAATGGCGGCCGAAGAGACGATCGGCCCGTTTTCCGTCCCTAAAAGAGACGGTAACTGGACAGCCGATGACTCGCAACAAGGAAGGTCCGTGGGTGGCCAAGGCACGGACCGAGCTCGCATCCTGGTGTCACCACCAGTCACCATATGGGCATATCAGAGTAGCTACGGTCAGGACCGTTGATGGCTACTACATAAAATTATAAACAGCTTTTATTTTATACATTATCTTGGTTATAATCAATATTAAGCCTTTAATATACTAGTAATATTGACACTCCCACCTCACTTTGCCACTGAATTTCATACTTCCAGATTGACAAAAATGTACTCCTATACAGTGGTGTGATCATCAACTTTTTTCATTTTTCCCGGATTTCAAGACCTTATTTCAGAAAACCAACAATAACACTGAAACAACAAACAAAAATTCGAGGACTGTTGAAAAGTTTAATTTTCTATAAGTTACAACCTTTGTGGTGTAATTTTTTTGGTTCATAAGACTAAATGATTATTAGCATGTATATAATGCAAGAAGTATCAGCATTATCAAATGCCCCTTGGATATCGAAGATGCAACCTAGCGTTTATTCATTATTAAATAACGATTTCTCAATCCTGCCTATCAGTGAATGCAAGGCAGTTTCCAATGATTTTTCTGGTAAACAGGCATGCTGATTGGGATGTATCATTGTATTAATTCCACAATCATGCCTGTTTACGCCAGAGAGAATTAAGAATTAAGAAAGAGAAATTCATTTTTTTTTAAATTTTGTTTATTTGTTCAAATATTCATGGAGATGAAAAAAAGGTCTCGGGGTCCAGCTGGCCAGTTAGTATTTGAGAGTGGACGAATGCGTTTGTTTAATTCTTTTTTTGATCTCGATTTCTAATCGAAGTTACAATTTACGAGTACCCCGCCGGATTACGAAGTTATTTGTTTTCTCATCACTGTGGAATCACGTTGCCTGCAATTCTTCGCCGCACATCATTTTGCTGTTCACAGGTCAGATCTTTCCTTTAGGCTGCTCATGTCTTCTAATAAGATTTTAATTTGAAGTGTTTGTTCTCTTCATTTTTAACTACTGCGAAAAACATTTAAAACCAAGTTTTTTGTATAGTTTGATTAATTTTCTGTAATAAGTCTGTCACTATTCTCGTTAATCTAGTGACCCTGGCCAGGTCACTTTATTGTTCAACTTATGTAAATTAAATTAACTTTATCGTCCAATGTATGTATATCATATTAATTTAATTTAGTTTAATTTAATCTTTCTTCATATTCTGTCAGGGAGTCAACGTGAAGGAACAGGTTCCAGCGAACTAGAAAAGGTAAGGAGCGTTGTTGCCAATTAAGGATACCCCCTTCTTCCAACACAATGCCTAATATATCTATCTAAAATTTCCTCTATAATTTTTATGGAAATAGAAGATATACTTATAGGTCTGTACGATTTAGGTAATTGATATGAGGCCTTGCCCGGTTTGGGTAAGAAAATTACCCTTATTTCCTTCCAGCATTTTGGTATATGTCCCAATGCCAGACTACTCATTAGGAGATCCCACACTGTTCTAGATAGACTAGGTGTATCCTGTTGAACTAATACTCCCATGTGTCCTGGGACCCAGCAGAGGCTGACTTTATTCTGCGAGCCTAATACATTTAATTTGGTTTTGCAGTTCAGCACCATCCTTGAACTAATGGTATTTGAGCTTAGTGCTTTGATGGCTGCTTGGCTATCTGACATGATAGCTATATTCTACCCTTTAGTTAGATTGAATTGGGTACATCTTTCAAATGCATGAATCTCAGCTTGGAAGATACTGGTGTTTCTTCCCATGGGTTCTGAGTATTTCGTTCCACGTCCAAATACTCCTGCCCCACACCTTCTTTTATTATTTTATTTATTTATTTAAAAAAAAACCTAACAATTTGATATAGAAAAGTGCACATGTGATAACATGATTACCAGGTGATGAAAATTCATTTTAAAAATATTATTTGACATCGAAATATTGTGTCTACAGTTGTACTTGTTGTAAATTGTGTTTAACTAAACTATATCAGCTTGCCGAGTTGTGAATTAACTTCTAAACTTCAGGTATGTCTTTAGATTATTACAGACAGTACAGATCACTAGAAATGGCATAAAAACAATGAAAATGAATATAGCGAATTTGACATTTACATTTCATGACTGATAGGAAAAGGAAAATCTGTTTAACAAAATAATAAGTACCGCTAAAATATTCTTTATTGCAATGCTATTAAATTCTTCTATTCCTCTATTATATGTAAATGAATGTAGATCTATAAAAAGCTCCAGGTTTAATATTAATGAGTAAAAGAAAAAAAAATGATAATAAACACTCTTAACTCTTAAACCGAAGGCAATTATTTCCAAGCATTTACGGATTAATTTATGATTTTCAAAAGAAATGAGATGTCTTGGATTTTTGAACTTGATTTTCGGTAATATGAAAAAACTTGTATGCCAAATGTGAAGCTGAACCCATAATAATGGTTTACATCATTATACCAAACAGAATTTTCCTTAAAAATTACATATGAGAAAAAACCAAGGTAGCATGATTCCAAATAATATGAAAAGTATAGATAGATTACCATAAGATAATCAACATAAAAATAAAATAATAGGCAAAAACGTGAACAATATCCTCCCTTACTCATACTCTTCCACAGCATAGTCTGGGGAGGCCATTGAAGAACAAAGAAAAATTAAGGGGTTAGGACAACTCCTTGCCTCACACCGCCATACATAACTGCAAATACCTCTCAACTCCCTCACCGATCATTCCTTTGCTAATTTATCATTCTGTTCATTAATCCTCTGCCCTGTCTAAACTGATACCAAACAAGAGTAACGTTGTTGTTAATCCCAAAGTCTGACTTGGCATTCATGCAATCCCAAACAGCTTTGGACTTTACTGCTGCCTGGCTGTCTGAGAAAATTGCTATTATTTCATTGGTCATACACAACCTTTTGATCTCCTCGGCGCAGTCTTCCATAGCCTCAGCCTCTATCTGCTAAACAGAGGTGTGTTGTCCAAGGCTTATGTGAACTTAAATCCTTGGTTTGTTTTCATAGACACCGGCTCCAGAACCGTATGGTTTGTTGAGTGAATATTGACCACCTCTGTAAAGCCTCTGTTTTTGTCAACTGGCAGGTCATCTGCATATCCCACGCAAAGCCCTCATCAGATAGCAGTTTGTGATCATCAACCAACACTAATAGGAATGATAGAATTCCACCTCGGTTCTCGCCCATGGATATAATTATCCTCTTCCTTATGCTTTGCAGAGTAATAAGTAAAAGACAAAGAATGTATATAAATGTAATTTAATAAAGTAATGGAGAAATTCTTTTAAGTTTATACTCATAAAATATATTAACTAAATATATAATACTTTAATTATTCCTCTGTACTTTATTTATAAGAAAAAGGAACTATAAATACGTTTTTACTAAAATTATATTGTGATCTGTTTAGAGAATTAAAGTTTATTTAAATATACTTTATAACATAATTATTCAAGTACCTCATGATATTAATTTTAAAAATTTATCTCAGCATATTAATTGTTATGTTCAGTCATCAAACCATTAATCGGTATAGCATTTGAGAAATGAATTTTTGAAGCGGGAAATATACAATTTAAATAGAAAATAATAAAGCAGTTTTGCATCACCATAGCGTAACAGATGTACAATTGCTATGGATACTAAAATTCAGTTCCAAATATCATTAAATAAAAAATATAATTTCTAATCAGTTATATTTGTTTGAAGGCAAGAAAACTGAATCAACTTGTCAGCTTGAAAATCTTTTCTTCTTTACTGGTATGTAAATACATGTTAAGTAAAATAAATTATATAAAGTATTTTTTAAATGAACAATTTTAATCTCAGATCAAATTTAAAACAAAATTGAAAAACGTATAGGAAAATGATACTTAGAAATTTGCTTGATTCTTTTCATATTTTTTTGTGATTATTTAAAATGCATCTTAAAACAATACGTTTGAAGTGCTTATTTTCAATAGCATGTACCTACCAAGACTGATTGAAAGTAAATTGTTTTATATTTAGAATATTTGATATATTACAATGCTGTCCGCATTGAAGAATATGTACCACATAATGACGAGGATTAGTCACAACATCGGATGGACAATGAGTCAAAGACAAAGTTCCCACTACAAAGTGGAATACAGACCGACTAAAAACATTTTAGTGGCCAATCGAGGTAAGAGATTTCTTTTTCTAAATAAAAGTTGAATGCAAAAGTTAAATTGTTCTTTACATCAAAGGAAATTGTTGTCAGGGTATTTTGTGCTTGTGCTGAATTGGGAGAAAGTCAATGGAGCGATGTTCAAATTTATCCCCATCAAAAATTGAAGTAAATGTCCCGAAAATTCCTACAGGTAAGAAATCTAAATTATGTCATAACATTATTGACATATGTCTCACTTGATTCTCTTGAAAGTGATATCTCTCACTCACGGGAAGATTTGATGAAATTTGATGTAAAAAATTGGCTTTAACCGATAGAAATGTTTTAAATTCATCAAATAATATAATTAAAAAATAACTTATTCCTGATTAAAATATAAAACAGATAATAAGAAAGGCCATATATTTATAATAATGTTGTCCAACAGCAACTTTGCCACCACCCGGGCTGTAAGACGTTTATAAGAAAACTGGGCCGAGTGCTTATGCAAAAGAAGTTAGAACGAGGAAGCAGCACCTTCTTACAGACACAACATTTAGAGACGCCCATGAGAGCCTCTTAGCCACAAGAGTTAGGACGATAGATTTATGGAAAATATCTCCTTATGTGGCACAATTTCTCAAATCTGTATTCAATTGAAAACTGGGGCGGTGCCACATTTGATGTAAGTATGAGATTCCTCCATGAGTGCCCTTGGGAAAGGCTTGAAGAATTGCACAAAAGAATTCCAAATACATCTCCGAGGAGCAAATGCAGTTGGGTACACCAACTACCGAGACAACATAATTTTCAAGTATTTATTGCTAATTAATTTTGTGTTGTCAATAATTGTCTTTCTATTTTTGACAACAGGTTTTCTGGACAAGCAGTCCAGATTAGACTACTTGTTCGCAAAATCTGTTGGGAATTCTTTTGCGCAATTCTTCAAGCCTTTCTCAAGGGCACTCATGCAGGAATCTCATACTTACATCAAATGTGGCAATATCTAGTTTCTTTTCACCTTAGCTTTTTCATTGTCATGATTAAAAAACATGAAAAAATATGATGTAATATTTAAAAAAAAAAAAAAAATGAAAACAGTCATTTCATTTTGACTGGGTTATTATATTTGCCAGTTCAGACCCTCAAAATGTTAATCAGTTTTGTATACCCTCAAAATGGTCAAGGGATGAAATGATCTGTTCAAAAAACAACGAACCAAAAGATTCATTCACCTTTATTATGTCACCAAGGATAATATTGGCTTCTGCGTAGGCCTTTTTCACCGCTTCAAACTTTTCACCTAAACAAAGCGAAAATGCTGGAAACTGTAAATTCGTGTACTGGCCACCTGGTATTTTGTTCTGATACACATCCGCGTTACCCGACTTCATGGTTGCAGTACATTTGAAAGGGGCGTACAGCGTTCTAGCTTGTTCCCAGTATGCTGAATACTCTGATTCATTCCAAAGACTAATCCCTACAAAGAATATTTTAAGGAAGTCATGGATACCTACAAGATCACAAAATACAGCTTATCAAACCTGTGTCTGATGGGGTTCCTTGAAGCGAAGCGATTACTGCGCCCATCAAAGGCTGTGATGTGATGCCTGACATTGAATCCACAGCTACGTTGACATCAGCACCGGCTTCGGCACAAGCGAGCATTGAAGCCACGCCGGCTCCGCTTGTGTCATGAGTGTGTATGTGGATGGGAATATCTGGGTGTTGATCCCTTAGAGCTGAAATTAACATTTTAGCCGCTTTTGGCTTCAGAAGCCCAGCCATATCCTAAAAAGTATTATAAATAAATGTTAACTAATATTTTTTAGTTAAAGGTTAGTCTGTTTACTTTAGCAGCTAAAATGTGAGCCCCAGCATTCACAAGCTCTTTTGATAACGACTTATAATTCTGCAAGGCGTATTTCTTCCGAGTGAGGTTTGATATATCGCCGGTGTAAGAAGTAGCTGCTTCGATAATGCCTCCTGCTTTTCCTACAGCATTCATTCCGAGTATCAAGTTTGGTAAATAGTTCAGCGAGTCAAATATCCGGAAAACATCCATTCCAGATTTGACTGCTTCTTTGCAAAACCTATTGTCAAAAATAGAAAGACTATTTTAAAATTTTCTCTTAATCATGAAAATTAAGTAGAAATAAATACTTGAAAAAATTATCAGAGCCTCTTAGCCACAAGAGTTAGGATGATTGATTTATTGAAAATATCTCCATATGTTGCACACAATTTTCCGAATCTATATTCCATTGCGAACTGGGGCGATACCACATTGGATGTAAGTATGAGATTCTTGCATGAGATCCCTTGGGAAAGGCTTGAAGAATTGCGCAAAAGAATTCCCAGCATACCATTCCAAATGCTACTCCGTGGAGCAAATGCAGTTGGGTACACCAACTACCCGGACAACATCATTTTCAAGTATTTATTTCTACTTAATTTTCATGATTTAGATAAAATTTCAAAATTGGCTTTCTATTTCTGACAACGGGTTGCGAACAAGTAGTCCAATCTGGACTGCTTGTTCAGAAAACCTGTTGTCAAAAATAGAAAGACAATTTAAAATTTTCACCTAATCATGAAAATTAATTAGAAATAAATACTAGAAAATGATGTTGTCTGGGTAGTTGGTGTACCCAACTGCATTTGCTCCTCGGAGTAGCATTTGGGAATGGTATGTTGGGAGTTCTTTTGCACAATTCTTCAAGCCTTTCCCAAGGGCTCTCATGCAGGAATCTCATACTTACATCTAATGTGGCCTCACCCCAGTTCTCAATGGAATATAGATTCGGAAAATTATGTGCAACATATGGAGATATTTTCAATAAATCAATCATCCTAACTCTTGTGGCTAAGAGGCTCTGATAATTTTTTCAAGTATTTATTTCTACTTAATTTTCATGATTAAGAGAAAATTGTAAAATAGTCTTTCTATTTTTGACAACAGGTTTTGCAAAGAAGCAGTCAAATCTGGAATGGATGTTTTCCGGATATTTGACTCGCTGAACTATTTACCAAACTTGATACTCGGAATGAATGCTGTAGGAAAAGCAGGAGGCATTATCGAAGCAGTTACTTCTTACACCAGCGATATATCAAACCCAACTCAGAAGAAATACGACTTGCAGAATTATAAGTCGTTATCAAAAGAGCTTGTGAATGCTGGGGCTCACATTTTAGCTGTTAAAGTAAATAGCCTAACCTTTAACTAAAACAGATTAGTTAACATTTATTTATAATACTTTTTAGGATATGGCTGGGCTTCTGAAGTCAAAAGCGGCTAAAATGTTAATTTCAGCTCTAAGGGATCAACACCCAGATATTCCCATCCATATACACACTCATGATACAAGTGGAGCCGGCGTGGCTTCAATGCTCGCTTGTGCCGAAGCCGGTGCTGATGCCAATGTAGCTGTGGATTCAATGTCAGGCATCACATCACAGCCTTCGATGGGCGCAGTAATCGCTTCGCTTCAAGGAACCCCATCAGACACAGGTTTGATAAGCTGTATTTTCTGATCTAGTAGATATCCATGACTTCCTTAAAATATTCTTTGTAGGGATTAGTCTTAGGAATGAATCAGAGTATTCAGCATACTGGGAACAAGCCAGAACGCTGTACGCCCCTTTCGAATGTACTGCAACCATGAAGTCGGGTAACGCGGATGTGTACCAGAATGAAATACCAGGCGGCCAGTACACAAACTTACAGTTTCAAGCGTTTTCGCTTGGTTTAGGTGAAAAATTTGAAGAGGTGAAAAAGGCGTACGCAGAAGCCAATATTATCCTTGGCGACATAATAAAGGTGAATGAATCTTTTGGTTCATTGTTTTTTGAACACATCATTTCATCCCTTGACCATTTTGAAGGTATGGAAAATTGACTAACATTTTGAGGGTGTGAACTGGCAAATATAATAACCCAGTCAAGATGAAATGACTGTTTTCATAATTTTTTTTTTAATATTACATCATATTTTTTTCATGTTTTTTATTCATGACAATGAAAAAGCTAAGGTACAAAGAAACTAGATATAATAAAACTGATTAAAAATATTAATTTTTTCAGTCAATCCATGTCCACCCAAAAGCCGACAAGGGTGTGAAAGGACAACTGAGCGCTACGATGCCAGGCACAGTCACTGAAATAAGAGCCAAGATTGGAAGCAAAGTCAAGCCCGGCGATGCAGTTGTAGTTCTATCTGCCATGAAAATGGAAATGATAGTGCAAGCACCTCTAGAAGGCACAATAAAAGCAATTAATGCCACCCTCGGACAAAAAGTAGAAGGCGAAGATTTGCTTGTTTCTATTGAAAATAAAGCTGTTCACCCTTATAACATTATAAACTTTTACATTATTATTATTTTTCTAAAGTAACTAGTATTTCACAATTTATAATTATGCCAACCTTTTTAATTTTATTTCTTTATTATAGCTGTAAATTACATTACACTGACATATCGTTGACATTTTTGTTTCTAGAAATATCTAGCTAAGAAGGTACAGAATTATAAATGTAATTGATTTGGGGGGACAAATTTTCATGGAAAATTATAGGAATTAGTCCATCATCCATTGAGTTCATAAATTTTTACACTTTTGAATGTAGTACTTTTTAATTTAAAAGGAAATACAATATGAATGCACTGACCTGGTTAAATCATTTCACAATCTACCTCTCATCAAACTGAATTAAATTTCTAAAAGTACACGATTACATACCCAAAGAAATTCATGCCTTCTCTGGTGTACCTCACGGAGGCCACTTATCGCCTCTTCTGTTTAACATATACATCTCTGACCTGAAAACGTTTTTCAAATTATGCAATCCCATTCACTTACTCTACCTGTAACTGTCTCAATCTCTAATTCGGTTTAAATTACGTTTACCGGTTAAACCTGCAATGCCATCACCCACACTCATATAATTCATGCTTAATCTTGATTAAACGATTTATTAATCATGACATCTACCTCCCACAATTTATTAAGGCCTAAGGGCTTACCTGTAATTGTAATTCAACTCTCACTTAGCCTAATATCAGACGGACATCTATCACGATACTACATAATGACAGGAAAAGTGGATGCAAAACCTTGTGATTTTTCAACATCAACATGAAAATAAAATAATAATAAAATAAGAGCAAAAGCATGAAAAATATCCTCCCTTACTACCCTTACTCTTACTCTTCCATGGCACAGACTTTAAAAACACTTGTTCACACCAAAGTTGAATTAGCCATCATAGAACAGGGAGTTTCTAAGGGCTCGCTTTTTGATTGAGTTAAAAGCTGCCTCAGAATGTTCTAGGTCCTTAAAAAGGATTGCATACGATGTTCATAAATCTCTCAATGTTGATCACCTAAGTTACTCAAAATATGTATATGTACAGCAAGTTAAGTTATGAGTTAGGACAACACAAGATATTTGTATTGGTTTACCACCTCTCGAATCTATCCCCTCGGAAAAATGAGTGCTCGGTCTTGCAGGCATGCCTCCACCTCTAAACACCATTACCTTTGAGGTTGATAGTGAGATTCCATTTATCACAGTATGGGCCCAGAAGAACATTACCTTTTTCAAGCCCAATAAACAAACACTCAAAAAATCCAAGATTGAAGAGAGATCATAATTTTATTGTTATCCCGAAAGTTTGACTGGGCGTTCATGCAATCCCAAACATCGTTGGACCTGGCTGTCCATGAAGATGACTACTTTTTCATCGGTAATACACGTTATAAGTTAATTATTCCTCCATACTTTTATTTATAAGGAAAAAGGAACTATAAATACGTTTTCCAAACTAAAATTATATTGTGATCTGTCTAGAGAATTAATGTTTATTTAAATCTACTTGATAACATAATTATTCAAGTACCTCATTATATTAATTTTTAAAAATTTATCTCAGCATATTAACTATTATGTTCAGTCATCAAACCATTAATCGGTATAGCATTTGAGAAATGAATTTTTGAAGCGGGAAATATACAATTTAAATAGAAAATAATAAAGCAGTTTTGCATCACCATAGAGTAATAGATGTACAATTCCGGATACGAAAATTCATTTCCAAATATCATTAAATAAAAAATATAATTTCTAACCAGTTATATTTGTTTGAAGGGAAGAAAACTGAATCAACTTGAAAATCTTTTCATCTTTACTGGTATGTAAATACATGTTATAGTAAAACAATTTATAAAAAAGTATTTTTTAAATGAACAATTTTAATGTCAGATCAAAATGGTACTTAGAAATTTGCTTCATTCTTTTAATATTTTTTCTTAATTATTTCAAATGCACCTTAAAACTACTCATATGGTATTGGTAGCATTTGAAGTGCTTATTTTCATTGGAAAAAATTAATCACAATTCTTGTGCATGCACAAACAGAAACACTTACTGTGTGTGTTGTGTACAATGTACCTTTAACTAAATTAAAATTAAAAGCATTAAGTGATAACACTTTCTGTATAATCAATTTTAAAACTTAGTAAGAGCCACGATTTTCTTCTCTTTTTCTCAACAAGAATTAGCTGGTCATTTTATATGTGTCAGCTTTATGAGATCAGTTATAAATTGTAGCAGTGACAGTCAATGACCTAATACTTCTGAGAAGAAGGATTGAGCTGATTGCATTAAACTAGGGAATTAGGAAAGTACAAGCCAGAATGATCCCTGGTGCCTGGGGAGTACAAACCCTGTTTCCCAGTATCCTCATCATCATCATCATTATCAGAGGTGCAAAGGAAAATCTAAAGTTGTGGGAGTTCCCATGGGTGCCACGGCGAAGTACATTACATACTACACATTTTTGGCCTTGTGATTTTTCTGCTCTAAATAACTCAATGTTACATATTTGATCGGTTGTCCAACTATTTTAACTTTGTTTTCCATTTGTGGGAAACATCCTGTGGCTCCGTCTGGGTCTGTGACACCCTTTAACTTTCTTATCCATTGGAGCAACTGTGCAATTATTGCAGGGTTAGGTTCCCTGTTTGTGAGGAACATCATATCGCTCCCGTCTGTAGTATCACATCCTTCAACCAACTGCTTAATTATTACAAAATTACGTTTCCCAGATCGGTGGGGGATATCACGTTGTTTTGTTTGGGTGATTGCTCCTTCCGATTTATAGCCTTTTTTTTAATCTTTGTTTCAACTAATTTTTTGTTGTTCTTGTTTTGGACTGGTTTAAATACTTTAATTAAATCTCAAGTCTTTTACTTACCCTTCCATCTCCCTGCTGTTCTGAGGGAGATCCCATACCTACAAATCATGGCCAATTTAAGATAGTCCAGGATAGGTGACATTAAAAGTGTTTTTCTTTTACTTGAAAAATTCTGGCCTCATTTAATGAAATGTATTATACAAAAAACGGTAAACAAATTAAAACTTGTGTTAGTATTTGTGTATTTCAAACTCTATCACCTTACAACATTGGCATGCCATATATTTTCATTTAGAGATAAATATTTGGGGATAATCGCAACGCTACACAAAATACAACAGTAAAATTTATGTAGAATAAAGATTAAAAAAAACAAAGAGCTATAAATTATGTACAATAGTTTACAAAAAGAAAGGAAAAGAACATCCACAATTTTTAAGTACTAACAAATAGATCTAAAAATACCACATTTTAGTCAATGGATTAAAATACAAACAAAGAAAAAAATGGACATTAGAAAAGACAAATAAGCAATCTCATTGCTTTTATACTTATTTTTGAGGAAGTAAGCAAACACTAAACAATGTCTTTTCAAAACAGATATTTGACTAGATATTAAATGAGGTTAAGTTTTTAAAATCTCAAAATCCTCTTACAATAAAGAGGTGGGAAAACTAAGACTAATAAGAAGTAAATTATCTAAATATACACTATTAAGTTTATACAATAATACAAAACGTTTAGGTGATGAGAAAAAAATATTGTTAAGAAAATAAAGTAATTTAAAAATTAGTTTCTATAAAAAAAGTTAAAATATGTAAAATAAATTAGTTTGTTTAAAAACAATGTTTTTTATGTGATCGAAACAATTTGTCAAATCGAATAAATACACAAAATTGGACAAAATATAAAAAATATATGTAAGAATACTACAAAATACTTTTATGACGTATGTTCCGTTCAAATTAAAAAGTTAATAAATTTATAAACTAGCCCTGTTTTGAAAAATGAAATAGCATTTGATATTTTTATTTTATAGACCTGAGGGTCGATCTCAGCCTTGTTGAGTCTATTGTGTCCTTCGCTGAGCTAGCGGCTGTTGGCCGCATGAAGCTCAATTCAGGTTTTTTGACATGCCCGGCAATCGAGCTTCCACTGCTGCTGCTGCGACTGGCAGGGACGGTCGATGCATTTTCTTTAAAACTTGTGTTTATTACTGAATTGGCCTTGGGACGTCTCAAGCTTGTGGTAGGAACGCCGATCGAGCTTCCGCTGCTTGAGCTTCGACTCGCTGGTATGTTAGTCCGAGTTTTGATTTGTGTTACACCGAAAGGCTTTTTGATTTCTTTCTTCTCGTCTGATTTCTTTGTAAGTGTCGACTTCTTCAATAGGTCTGACGATAAGCTTTTATTTCTCACAGTACTGATAGAAGCAAGCGAACTTCTTGAACTCCTCAGGCTGCTTCTTGAACTCGATCTTTCTACATTATTTTTAAGAAGTTCTGGACAATGGTTCATTTTAGGCCTATTTGTACTTTGTGTTCGTTTAATTGTTACAGTTTCCGGTTTGGCCCGAGGTGTCTGAATAATATCGCTGTCACTCTTTAGTACAGCGGGTCTGGTGTGTTGTTTATTGGCTAATACTAAAATTCTCTTTTGTACAGGACTCGGTTCTATTTTGGAGGATAATTTAGTGCCGGAAAGATCCGGTCTTCTCAGGCTTGCGGTTCGTTTTGGAATGATGCTCTTTTTATCAACTGGTGTTGTAGATCTCACCGAACTGCTCCTTTGGACAGGCTTTCGTTCGGTTGTTTTGTCTTTTGACTTTGGCGCATCAACGACATCCCCTTCATAATTTCCAGACGATGCACCTTGACTAGGACTCTCGGAAACTAGGCTTTGGGTCTCTTCAAAGCCTTCATCGTTCATTTCGTGTTCTCGTGTTTTCACTTTAATCTCTGGAATTACAAATTTTGGCTTAATTTTGTCATTTAACGATGTCAATGCTTTGGCCACGTCGTTTTGGTCGATTTCTGTTTTGCGCTTGCTAACTTTCTCATCTTGTTTGAGCTTGTATGATTTAGGTAATGTCAATGAACCTAGTTTCTTCAGTTCTTCACCTGACCTGTTGATTACTGCAAGAGGACCTTCTTCAGGTTCCCCTTTGTATTTGAGTTTGTCTTGCCATTTCTTTAATCTAGATTCTTTGTCGAGAGGCGGCGTTTCGACAGGTTTTGATTCGACTTGTTGTTTATCGGCTTTCATGATCTGTTTCTCAGGTATCAGCTCAGTCGATTCTTTTTTAGCCGGCTCTTCCTCAATGGGCTTGCGGTAACGACGAGTCCTCCTAGTAGATGAGAATCTATCAAACTGCCCATCGCCAAGTGGCTCTTCCTCATCTTTGAGGGCTTCTTTGAGTCTTGAGCATGGCGCTGGCTCTTCGGGCTTCCTCTCAGTTTCAGCATTCACTAACTTGCGGGAGGCAGGAGGCGTTTCTATGTTGTCCGAGTCAATCTCGACTCTGTCGATCGGAGTATCGTTCTTCTTTGTCCTCCTAGGAGCAAAAGGTGGCAGCATCTGTTCGTCTGGTGACCTGTCGTTAATATCCGGGAACACTCTTCTTGCCAATAGAGGGCTGATTTTTCCAGCCTTAAATTTATTAGCTACACTCATATTAGAAGAAGCCTCTTGCTGATCTTTCGGACAACGTATATAAACGGGGAGACTATCTTCAGGAAGTGGCGCTTGTCCTAAATTCCTAATAACCTCCTTTCTCTTTTCTTCCTCACTTATTGACTGCAAAAAGAAAATAGATTAATTCAATACTGCCACAAAATTACGATGACAAAGAATAAAGAAACACTTGCATCTAAACTTGTTCTTTTCTCAAGTCTTCTCAGTCGTCTTACATCGAGCTCAGTCTGCTCTGATGTGTTTGAAACATTTAAGTTGGATTTCCTCCAAGGCGATTTATCCTTAATAGGAGATTGAGGCTGAGCTTCTGTAAAATTAATAAATAATAATAATTACTATCGATTAACGGTCACTAATCTCTACACATTAATATCATAAATGATATAAATGACAAAGTAGAAATATGACAGTTAAAAGTTATTCAGTTTTAATTAGGGACAAGAACGGATTTCTATCATATTTCTTAAAATTAGTTTTTATTTAAAATAAAAATGTAATTGTCAAGATAAATGTATCATTAATAACCAGATGCAGATTAATATCGGGCTGGTGCAAAAATCATGCAGGTTTGAATGCATGCAAAACTATTTTTAATTTTTATAAACTTAAGAAAATTTATTTGAAATATTTTCCATCACAAGTACATTTTTGCTAATGTGTAATACGGTCTTGAAAGGTGCTTTCGACTTCACCACATTCTTTCAAAATTTTATCACTCAAGAATTAATCAAAATTAGTAAAAAAAAAAAGTAGAAGTCTGCAGGTGAGGGTGCGGTAAGGTTTCATATCCTATGTCTTTAAGTTTCCGCAGGGTTGGCATTGCAACATGTGGCCTGGCATTATCGTGAAGAAGAATCGACCCTTTATGGTTTACCAATGCTGGACAAAGATGTTGCAGTTTCCCATGCATTTTGTCAATTTCTTGGCAATCTTTCTCTGCTGTGAGAGTTTCACTATAATTCAGGAAATTATAGTTACCAACACCAGAAGTACACCACCAAAATGTCACCACAACCTTTTTTGGATGCAGATTTGGTTTTGGGAAGTGTTTTGGTGCTTCATCCCTTGTTCAACCACTGACACGTATGCCTACATCCATTTCTCATTGCACGAGATGATTTAATCAAGAAATGGATCATTTTGGTGGTGCAATAGAAGAGATGTGCAAATTTCAAAGCACTAATTTCTTTCAAATTCAAGAATTTTCTTCAAATCAACGGTTTGAATTATTCGTTCTCAAGGCCTACCGTGACCTTCTCTGTCTTCAAGACCAAAATCTCCAAGACAAAATCTCTGGAACTAACACTGCATCGTGCATTCATTAACGCTTCCCTCCCCCCAAACTGTTTGATATTACACACAGTTTGGGCTGCACTTTGCCCAAGTTTAAATTCATAGAAATAAATTTTATGAAAACCTAGTTTGGGTATTATCTAATTTTGTAAGTCCTTACTCTTACAAAATTCAATAAAAACTAAAATGTTCTGTATAAAAGATAACAGTTAAAAGTATTTATTGTAATCCATAAAATAGGTTTGAGGATTTAGCTTTTTCATGAGACAAGCACCAGTGAAAATAAAACAAATTTTCAAAACTTGCATTAATTTTGCACCAACCCACAAGCCTGAATTGTGAACTTTTATTTTAATAACACTAAAAAAATATATTAAATTTAATTATTAACCTGCAATTGCTTCCATCGCACCTACGACATCTGTTTTATCGATTGTAGGTCTCCAATCAGAATAAACTCTTTTGTATTGCATGTTTCCTTCTGCAAGTTTGCCTTCAGGTAAGGTGTCCAAAGTATTTGCTCTCCCTTCGCTCTCTATTTCATTAAAACATTGATTAGCGCATTTGCTTGAAATGATTACATGTGTGCACACACGCACCTGATTCTGCTTCAAGGGATCGCCTATTGCTTTGGAACAGTCTCGCTCGTCTACGTATACCATCACTGTGTTTGTCTTCCTTTTCATTCTCAGAGAGCCATGCTTCAATTTTTTGTTTCCAAGGTCTAAAATAACAAAGAATGTATATAATACATAAATATGAATATTTGGAGACCGTGAGATGAGTCTGGTGTGACGTAGGTTTTAGAAAACCACTTTCTTTATTGTGCACGATTATCTTTGGCACGATAAAGAAAATGTTTTTCTAAAACCTATGTCACACCAGACCAAATCTCACGATCTCTGAATAATCATAGACTAATGGTCACTAATCACCACACATAATGCATAAAGTCAAAGTTTTATTTACTTGGGCTTGCTATCTTCTTCTGGTGTTGATGGCATCTGAGAAGGAGAAGTGGACCTCTCTCTTTCACCGGAAAAGTCTGCGGTAAGTAAATCTGGCCGTTTTCGGCCTCCACCCCTTGCGCGTCTTGCCCAAGACCGATCTTATAAAAAAAAAAAATAATATATAATTGCTTTGGCTTTTTGACATGGAAAAGTAATTTATTGTGATGATGTGTACCAAGGCTGCCCCAAGATTTGCGCTCTCTTGATGCATCATGTCCTGAAGCTCTTAAATAATCCATGAGGCTTGATTCGTCCTCTTCTGATGGGACACGACTCCTTCTGCGTCTCAGGCTTCCAGTAGGGGTTACATCTGGTGAATATGTCTCTTCACGTCCACTACCGACAGTCTGGTCACAGGAGAAGGATCCAAGCCGTCTTCTCGACAAAGCTGGAGAACCAGTTATTGAAACGTCTTCTTCTGAAGTCATAGTACCATTTCTTCGAACCTATAAGATATAATATGATAAAATTGTCTAGTTTTTTTACTTTTTTGCACAGTTTGAAAATACCTTGATATCAGCCCCTTTTTGAAAACCTGACTGTATGTCAGAGAGAAGGGAATCAACAAGATTACATTCAGACTCGGAGCCATTGGAAGTTTGAGCACCCACTACAAAACAAAACACATTAGAAAAAGGTGGAAAGAAACAACATTCTTTGAAGAAAGCTTAAGACGAACATGTTCGTTTTTTAGCGAGTTGCTCTTCTCTTTGTTTCCTTCTAGCTGCGGCCTGTTCCTCTTGTAGTTTTCTACGTTCATTCTCGACCACAGCTTGTTTAAACTTTACGCAGAAACCATGGAAAACCTTGAAGCACTCTTCTAACTTAAATGTGGCCGAATCTTCACAGAAGAAATCGGCTAATGATATTCGAACAGATTCGAGCTCTTCCATATCTTTTTGTAAAGCAGCAACTTCCTGGTCAGCAATCTAATGTAAAATAACACATAAATATAAAAATGGAACACATTAACAAATATATTGTACATTGTATCTATAAATTTTAATTATAAGATATATAAGATGCATAACAAATAAAATAAGAATAGTAACCTTAAGAAAATTGTCCATTTGCTCTTTTATTTCTTTTTCGGTCGAAGGAAGATCTATTTGTCTATGTACTTTTTTAATTCTACTATCTAAAGCGTTAATTTCATTTTGTAATTGTTCCGTTGTAGTTCTGCAACATTTAAATTAAAAGTAAATCAAATTAGTCCATTTTGCAATTACTATCAATAATTGTTGACCTTTTACCTTTACTCCTGAATAAAGCAAACTGTACAAGTTTTAAAAAATTTAGTTATCGAATACATACTAAATTAAATTAACTTGTAAAAAATAAAAATGATTGAAATATACTTACTTAGTTGCGTCTTCTAATGTGACCATATCATCTGGAAACTTAAGAAGTTCTTTTTTCTTTTTTTCAGCTTGCTGAAATATAAAAATTTCAAATTGTACAAATAAAATAATGAAATAATACAAAGTTATGTGTAGATAGTTACAAGAGCCACATAATGAATGAGATTCATTCCAGGCTTGTTTGCTCTGATGTCTGTCAGTTTTTGTAGAGAAGATAACTTCACACCGGCAGCATTTCCAGCATATCCTCCCTACAAAGGATAAAAAATAAATCGAAATGTTGATGTGTAACTTATTTTTAGATAAAATTTAATCTCTTACTGAGTTTAAGAAATTGCCAGCAACAACAACCATGTATAAAACTTCTCTCAATGCTTCATTTCGCATAAGATCTATGACAAGCATTCAATATTTTAATTGAGAATGTTAATACTTTTTAATGACACCTTAAATTTAATAATACCTTCTCCTGCCATTATCATAGCAGAAATACTCGGTTCCAAATAATTCATGTTGGCGTTGAATTCTTCCCTAAGAAGCATGCTTTCAATTCGCAGTTTATAGCTAGAAATGATATATTTTTTGTTAAAATTCATACATTTTAAATTAAAAAAATAAAGAAATAAACAAAACAAACAGTACTTGGGCACATCGATGAGTTGCAAAAGAAATTTTTCAGCATTTCCTAATCTTGATTTATCTCCATCAAAGCCTCTCAGCATTTCATATTCATCCAACTCGGGCAGTATTTTGAGCAAGCCCCTCAGTTTCTCTGCACCGATGTCATCGTGCTCACCATTTTTTATTAATTGTATTATGTCCTCATTAGAACTGTCATTAATTATAATTTAAAATGTAAACTTGCGGAATGATGAAATCTTAATAAATTTAAAATAAGGAAAATTACCTCCTAAATTGCTTCAAGAATATACTGACGTTCAAACTTCTTTTTCCGTCCAAAAGGGTAATCTGAAATTTAAAAAGTTTCATGAATGTAACGCAATTTATTAAAAATTGTGTTATAACACTTATAAATGATTGATGCAGCAAAATTAAAATACTGAAATGATTTTTACCTCTGCTGGTTCTTTACGTCGTGAATTGACATCAGGGCTGTCTTTGAAAGTTTTCGGACTAGCAGATGTAGGCGGAGGTGGCGCTTGTTGACAGAAAAGGCCTTCCATCTCTGACCAATCGAGGTCCGCCATCGGAGAGCCTTGATGATTTCTAGCCACCATGGACCAAATATTTTGTCGCCCCAAGACTCGGTTATCTGGGATTTTGTTCCAATTGATCGTTTTCATTTTGGTTTTAGGTGTCGGAGTGTCCTGCTGGGGAAGAAGCTTAGCCGAGGGAGATGCTGAGGGCGATGAGGACAGCGCAGAAGGCGCATTGGGAGGGGCAGAAGGAGGGACGGCGAGAGGCCGGTGAAGAGAGGTGACCGTGATCGAGGATTGAGGTGGTGGCGGCGGTGGCCTGACCATCGTAGAGTTAGGCGGAGGCAGGGGTGGAGGTGGAGGAGGAGGCGGCACCGCAGAAAGTGGGGGTGGTGGAGGAGGCGGCACCGGTCCTGACTGAATAGACGGGACGAGGCTCTGTTTCCTAGGGCCACCTCCTTGATGTATGCAGCACAATTTGCTCTGGCTCGGTGACCTAAGCAATTTTGTAGCGTCTTCTCTACTTTCTAACAAAGTCGCCCGATGGACCAACGTCTCCGCCGTGTCCCAGACAATGTCACTCACTGCCTCTTTTGGGTCTATTCGTAAAAGGTGCTGTAATATCGACAAGAATGGAATCTCTTGTGGAGTATCAGCCACCTGAAAAATAAACATGTTTGAAAATTTTATTTTTGTTATTAAAAAAGTGTGTAGAGATTAGTGACCGTTAATCGATAGTAATTCAGATATCGTGAGACCCGACCGCATCTCACGATATCTGAATTACTGTTATTAAAAAAGTTGATTTTTCTTATTTTTAAAGCTTTTTTGAAGACGGTTAAAGAAATTTTCAAAATATGACATTTGTATTTGTAGTTGTTGTATTTGAATTGTAGTTTAGTCGTTTCTGACAATTTATGTCTGTCAGTCAAATTTCGACAAAACCAAAACAGCTTGGATAAGAAAACCCCATAGACTGGAGAAGAAATTTCATGATAAATTTATTGTTAATTTTACTACCATTTATTGAGAGGGTGCTGGTGTACGCTTAAATTAAAATAATAATAATAATAATAATAAAGCGCAAGTGTTGTTCAGTGTTATTCATAGTGTTAAGCAAAAATAAAATGATTAATTTCAATTGTGCCATTGTCATCGTTTAATTTTCAAAAGTGTTTATGTTATTATTTAAAGAATAAACTTCAATCTTCCAATTTTAACCAACTGCCTTTGACTGGTATTTTTCCTACCTATCACGGATTAAGTATCTGTTCTTTAGGGGCCTTAATCTCTCAAAAAGAATTTCAAGAATAACAATAAAACGGACAAAAATAGGTTTTCTGATGTTTTGATTTCATTAATTTTTTCAAGTTCTGTGTCAATTTCACTATCAAAATACCCAACACTGCAGTGAATGTACTGATCATGCCATGAACTTGGCGCACCTTTTATTATCTAAAGAGTTAACGGTCCTCCACCATTATTCGATCTTAAGAAGCCCAATTGTAATGGTTACTCTTTGGTTGAACTTCATTGGCTTTTTAAAATGCACTGTGAGGTTCTTCAGCTGAACTCGGCCATGTGGAATTAGGGATGAGCGAGGCTTTTGTTCGCTTTGCAATTCGCATGCCCTCGAATTTGTTTTTTTCATTTTTTGGCAGTGTTCTGGGTGAGATCTGCTTTTTTCACCTAGTTTGCTTTACTCTGTCAAGAGATGAATTTCTGGGTTTTTTGGAGGGTTCAGGATCTAGGCCTTTGATTGGGTTTGTGAGACAGGCTTGGAACGACAGACACAAGCTGACAGAAGAATTTAATTTTTCATTTAATTACTGAAGTAATATATATAGTTTTTCTTTTCTCTGTTTTAAATGCTTATAGAATTTTCATTTTTTAAAACATATGGCAGACAGATTTTTCAATCTATTGTCTATTTTTTGTTAGGTTTTTCTTCTCTCTATTGTATTTTGGTTTATATTGTAAATATAGTTTTTCATTCATTCATTTGTTATCAAAAAAAAATTCCATCATTTAGGAAAGTTTTAAGATCACCTATCTCCTAACTAAATGTTCAGTAATGGTTTTATTAGTCAAGAAAAGAAAAGAAATATATATTGATATTTTTGAAGGTTTCTGCATTCCCTGATACATTTGTTTTAAATTGTTACAAGCAAGAGAGTATAATTGACTAAATTTTTTAACTGACCAAACGTCAGAATGTTGAATTATGGCCAAGAGGGTGGACTTAAAAATTTGTAAAAGTTAAATTTTAAACTATCGAGCCAACATTAAAATTCCCTAGCAGATTCTGTGGTTAGGCTCTTGAATAAATAAAATCAATCCAAATTAATATTAAAAAAAATATTACTTTCTGTGACCAAAAATATGGTTGTCAGAAATGACTGAACTACAAAAATATTTGAGGAAAAAATTGGACAAATACCATTAAAATTAATAAGGTGATTATTTCTGTAATTAATGTTAAATTCTGCCATATAAATAGTTGAAATTTAATCGTGTTCACACTAATTATGTAAATACTTCAGAGACATCTTAGATGACTCTTACTTTTATAAATAACACAGGAAATGGCCATTGATGACATTTTTTGTGTTTGAACATGGTGTAATTCCTAATTCTGGGTGTAGTGGATAGATAAGGGAAAAGGCGTGGTTGACGAGTGATTGTTTTACTCACTCTGTGAAGAATAGCATAAAATAGGTCCAAATGCGAATTGAGATCTAGCCCATGAGCAGATGTCTGACTCGTCTGGGATTCATCGCTCTCCTTCTGCTCGTCGAATACATCCAATTGGACCCTAAGGTCGTGAACCCCTTTCCCGGACCTCCTGAAAGAAAAAAAATTGAAATGATTATTTATCAAAGGAGATTTATATTAACTGAACAGAAACACATCCAAACCCATAAAACACACAATTAAAATTTGAGAGAGAGAGGGAGGAGGAGGGTGAGAGTGAGGAAGGAGAGAGAGAGTGAGAGAGGTAGAGTGGGAGTGAGGGAGAGAGAGGGAGAGGGAGAGGGAGGGNGAGAGAGAGAGAGAGCGAGCGAGAAAGAGTGTGAGAGCGAGGAAGGGGAGAGGAGGGAGGGAGGGAGGGGGAGACAGACAGACAGACACAGCGATGGAGAGTGTGAGTGAAAGAGAGAGTGTGTGAGAAGTGAGAGTGAGAGAGAGAGAACAATCCTCCTGACTAAAAGCAAAGGTTTAATTCTAATGTATGATCATTTATCATTTAAAAAAAAAAAATTGTTAGAAATTATAGATTTTTAAAGATTAATTTTATAAATACAAGATCTACAGAATATGAAAGTTAAATTTAAAAAATTCCTACTAAAAACTCATTATCTAGTTATCTTTCGACAAATATTGAAACTATGGTACAAAATAAGATTTTGTACAGAATAATTAAGGATACTCATATTTATGATCTGTTAAATAATTTTTAAGCAATCAATCATTGATTGATTAATATTTAAATCATCATGATGTCAGTGTATTATTTATTTATACCCTTACACTTTTTTTTTTCCAAATGGTCTTCAGCCACTATGTGTCATTTAGGCCTTGCTATTTATTTATTTATTTATTTTTTTCATATATACTTCTCAATCAGATGTCAAAATTTAATTTTAAAATAACTTTTTCTAAGTAATTTTTATTAAGTGGATAATGAAATAGGTGTCTTGAATAGCCAGACAAGAATTGTTTAAAACTAGTTGTGCAATGGGCCATAAAAGATTACATCTAAACAAAAAACAAGGTAGTAAAACTCAATAATGCAAAATTTGACAATAAAACATAAAACATTAATGGCCTTTCTTATCGTGTGAAAACTCCAATTACGTTTTTGTTTAATCAAGCGAGATTTTAAATCAAATTTATCCCCAGAGAATTATTTGGCCTGTTGTTGCAATAACAAACAACTTGTGGATACATAGAAAAGTCTGTGTGTACGTAGAACATAAAAAACACCACCTACGACTGACCAACTCTGTGCTCAAGTGCTTGATTTTATTATTTATTTTTATTTCTAATGATTATTTGGGGATCGTGAGATGCGGTCTGGTGTGACGTAGGTTTTAGAAAAACTTTTTTTTATCGTGCTAATGTTTGCATCTTTATTGAGATCATCTTCAAGGCCTGGGATTTATAATCATTGTTTAAATTTTACAAATACATGTAGGATGTGGAAAAAATTCTACTAATCTAATTGCTATAATAATAATAATAATAATAATTACTAATTATTATTATTATTATATCTAGTAGTCTATTGGATATTATAATATGAGCCAAAGAAACTAAGCAAAAGAACTATTTTGTCATAACATTTCTATTGGGTACACGATACTTTTTTAAATTTATTTTTTAATTTAATATATTAATTACAATATGTAACTTTATTTACATTATATAATGAGCTGGATTGGAACCATTGATGTTCACCAAACTATACACAAGGACTAATCCTCATTTAGTAGGTCGGGAGACCATCTCCTCTTCAGTCATCTGGTGGATTATAAGGGTTGTTTCTAATGGATAAGAATTGGGCAACTCGATTGAAGCAAGATGAGTTTTTAATGTAGAAAGTGGGAAAGGTGTTGTTACTGAAAGGTTTAGCTATGACCCACAGTTCTAGTTTGGATGTCCAGATTGGTACATGGTCAGTTTGTTTTTTGTCAAAAAGTGACATTTGCATGACAGTAGTAAGCAGAGTAGACCGAATTTGTTTAATGCCTGCTTTTTTAGTCGTGTTTGGTGTGTGTTAGTTCCAGGTTAGTCTTGAATCTAGATGGAACTCAAGGTAGCATACTCAGTTAGTTTTGGGCATGGGAGTATTATTGAGGAATATTGTACAAGGGGTTTTGCTTTGAACGGGTGAATGAGACGTGGTTTTGCATTCACTAAGCTTTATAGCCAGTGTTTCCTCCATTCGGCTAATAACAGGACATGTGCCTAGAGCTCCTCCGAAGTAATCGTGGGATCGGGATCATAGGATAGCACAGCATTGAGTGAAAGATGCAAGGTTAGGTGAAGGTAAAGGATCGGTCCAAGTACACATCCCTGAGGTACTCCCGCTCCTAGAGGACAATAGTCGGAGGCAGATCCTCGGCAGATTCGGAAGAATTGTTCGGTTTAGATTGGACGAAGGATTAGGCAAAGCTATTTGGAAGGATGTGCTTTAGTTGTGTACAGGAGGCCTTTCACAAAGGCTTAACAAATTTATCGACTAGTCAGAAATTAACGTTCAATTTTAGATTTTTAACATTCACTATTTTGCCAAGGCAGTTTAATGCTTTTTAGTTACCGCTTAGCAGATACATTTTTTTAGAAATTCTTGTGTGAGATTTAGTTCATATTCTTAGAAGTGTATAACAAGTTTTTTCTCTGTATTTTTCTATAAAACTTTTTTGTTTTGGCTTAATAATTTATGTATCACGTATCTAAAATGAAAAAATCTTATCATGGAGTGGTTTCCATTCTCAAATTTTGACTAATTTGCCATTAAATTTTAAAACGGTCTTAACATTTGAGATTGCCATTTCATGGTTGACCCATTTTCATTGACATAATAGGTCCGTATATTCATTCAATTGACAATTTATTCTTAAAAATACACTTTTTACTGATTTATAACATATTTAAAATAGGGTGGACTAAATAAGAAAAATAGGTGCGACTGTTCTCAAATTAATCTGGACGTTTGATAAACCTGCAAGGATACCGAAATCAATGGAGGTCATCGGATAGTCCAGTTTTGAGCTCGGGTATTGTTTAATCGTACCGGGCAATGTGACGAAATTGTGATATTACCGCGATAAAACACTTGGGACCCTTCGTTTCAATTGTTTTAAATAAAAAAACCCATTTAATCGACGAATGTTTGCGAAATTATTAGTGATTTCCTGAAGGGTTTTATGCCCCACGACCCGACCGATTTAAAAATCACTTTCTCAAATTGGAGTTTATGAAAGAAAATTGGAACCCAGGAAGTTACAAGTGATAAATAATAAAATCGGACGCCTTACTTTCCCGTCTTAACTTGGTTTAAACCCGGTATAATACTGACTGAGTCCAACTTAAAATTGCCTTTTTTCATTTTGTCTTGAACCGAGTTCAAAGGCTGGTTCAACTTTGAACGGCCGTCGAGCCTGGGATAAACCTAGTTCAGATTTAAGCGACGTTCATTTCATAATATAACCTGTATGTCGTTAAAGATTGAACTTTTGATCGATAAAAGTTGAAAGCTATTTGAATGAGTAAAAACTGATCAACTTTGGACCTATAAATTATTTAATGTTCTTTCTTATATGTAGTTCTAACCGTCTTTTTTTATCAACAACAAATCCGGCAATTTTTATTTATTTTACGATAGAGTTCAATGATTTCCTCTCGCTAATTTATTTATAATCATAAAGTCGCTCATTAGGTCGTGATGTTCAGACCGGTCCCTTTTTTGAATTTGGCTCAAATTATGAGGTTCCAGTGAACCCAGTTTAAACCGTGATTGGTGCAACGGGCGTTTAACAGTATCCGGCACTATTTTGGATCCGCCTATTTTGAAATTGATAAAGGGAATTTCTGAATCTAAAAAAAATTCTTTTTCAAATATGCGCTAATATCTTAAGAACATCTGCTGGGCTGAGTCGATGCCTTGCAGTTGCACCAATACGGTTTAAACTGGGTTCACTGTAACCTAGTTCATTATAATATGAACAAAGTTCAAGGATGGGACCGTTCTACTAATCTCTGGTCTAATTGGGCTAATGATGACGCCGCTTGACGAGTTTAAAATAAAGATGCGAGAGAAAACGCATTGAGCTATGCCATACATGAAGTAGAAATTGCCGGATATTTAACTGATAAGAAAAGACGTTTATAACTATGTATAAGAAAGAACATTCAATAATTTGCAAGACAAAAGTTAATCGATTTTTATTGAAACGTAGGAACAAAAAGATTCAATTCGCTTTTAACTTGATCAAAAGTTCATTTAACAACAAACAGGTTATATTATGGAAATGAACGTCGCTTTACTCTGAACTAGGTTTAACCCACGCTCGACGGCCGTTCAACATTTTAACTCGGTTCAAGATAAAATGAAATAGGTCAATTTTTAAATTGTACTCGGTTCAGAACTAAACTGAGTTTAAACCGAGTTGATGCAACGCTATCTTAGTTATGCATGTCGTTTACGGTCATGTGGTTCTGCCTTAGCAGTTTTGTCTGTTGTGCTTCAAATGAGATGACGAAATCTGGCAGTCGAAAACAGCGAGGATAGGCAAACCAAACTGACCGGAAACGATCTAAGTAAGGAGGTTCATCCCATCGCGTACTTCAAGAAACTTCATCTTTTTTTTCTTGTAACTACTAATCCATACTTAAAATTTTACTGACAATCGTGAATTCGGTGCCATGTAACTGCATACGCTGAAGAGAACGGCCAAACTATCCATCACTTCTTTGTCACAGACACTTCGACCTAAAGGCCGTCACACTCGCGTCCGGGTCAAAACGTACACTCGCGGCGGACGACATCCCATACACTAAAGGCTGAAAAAGGACCCATCGAGTTCGGATAAGAGAAAAGCCCCTCTCCCGACTCCGGTCCACTTGATGAGATAATCCTTTTATCTTTCGAACGCTTCGTGCATAAGGTCGAGATAACGCGAGCACGAGGCCGCGCGTTCGACCCAACAGCCTTCACATCGTTTACCGTGTCAGAAACAGTGGCCGAAATCCCACGAAAACAAATCCGTCCTTAAGGACGAGGAAGGAGCAAACAATCAGAAAATATCTAACGAGAAATGCACCAAAACCAAACACAAT